CAATGCAAAGGAATCCTGGAGGTTGTAGTTTTAAAAGGACTTCTGCCTTCTCTGCTGGTGCTTCTCCAATCTATAGATCCCAGGGCTGCCATCGTGTGGTTCAAGTGGGGCCCAGAGTGCATCCGTTTCCCAGTGGAGATGCTCTGCAAGTGGCTGCTTCTGCACCTTCTGCCTTGGCTGTTCTCTCCCTTCGCCGCAGCCTCCCTTGCACTTGTATGGCTCGGCTCCCAGTTTCTCCCAGATCCAGAAAGGATGTCTCTGTTTCCAGACTTGTGTATATCCTTCCTTCCCTGCTGGAAGGGTTGTAAAAGTTACAGAAAAGGGGAGAAAGGAGTGGGAAGAAGTGTGCTCCCATTAACTCTGCACCTCCCGGATTCCCCCTTCGCAGGCTGCAATGCTGGCTGTGCTGGGCAAGAGGACACCACAGTCATAGAATCATAGAATCCTAGAGTTGGAAGAGACCTCATGGGCCATCCAGTCCAACCCCCTGCCAAGAAGCAGGAATATTGCATTCAAGCACCCCTGACAGATGGCCATCCAGCCTCTGTTTAAAAGCTTCCAAAGAAGGAGCCTCCACCACACTCCGGGGCAGAGAGTTCCACTGCTGAACAGCTCTCGCAGTCAGGAAGTTCTTCCTCATGTTCAGATGGAATCTCCTTTCTTGTAGTTTGAAGCCATTGTTCCGCATCCTAGTCTCCAGGGAAGCAGAAAACAAGCTTGCTCCCTCCTCCCTGTGGCTTCCTCTCACATATTTATACATGGCTATCATATCCCTCTCAGCCTTCTCTTCTTCAGGCTAAACATGCCCAGCTCCTTAAGCCACTCCTCATAGGGCTTGTTCTCCAGACCTTTATCATTTTAGTCGCTCTCCTCTGGACACATTCCAGCTTGTCAATATCTCTCTTCAATTGTGGTGCTCAGAATTGGACACAATATTCCAGGTGTGGTCTAACCATGGGGGAGCATGACTTCCCTAGATCTAGACACTAGGCTCCTATTGATTCAGGCCAAAATCCCATTGGCTTTTTTTGCCGCCACATCACATTGTTGGCTCATGTTTAACTTGCTATCCACGAGGACTCCAAGATCTTTTTCACACGTACTGCTCTCGAGCTCTCGAGCCAGGCATTGTCCCCCATTTCGTTTTTCCTGCCAAAGTGGAGTATCTTGCATTTGTCACTGTTGAACTTCATTTTGCTAGTTTTGGCCCATCTCTCTAATCTGTCAACCTTGAATCCTGCTCCTGTCCACTGGAGTGTTGGCTATCCTTCCCAATTTGGTGTTGTCTGCAAACTTGATGATCCTGCCTTCTAACTCTTCATCTAAGTCATTAATCAAGATGTTGAACAGGACCGGACCCAGGACGGAAACCTGCTGATGGCACTCCACTTGTCACTTTTTTCCAGGATGAAGAGGAAGCATTGGGGAGAATCACCCTCTGGGTTTGTCCATTTAACCAATGGTCACATCTTCCTTTCCGTCCTTCCTTCTCTTCTTGTTTCTAAAACCAATAGCACCCAATGCAGTCATTACTCCACTCCCATGATAATTTCTGCATGCTTCCCACCTCTGCAGCATCTGGATTCAGGCTTTAAGCAGAACCATATACAGTATTCCGAATGTGATCCCAATATGCATTTGTGTGAGGGCAATCTGATCGTGGCGGTTTTATTTTTTGTCTCTTCCCTAATTAAGTCTAACATGGAATGTGCTTTTTTTTTCTCCAAAAAAACTTTTGACAGCAAGCAGCGGGAACCCCAATAACCCCTTATTTGGTCATTTGCTGACAGCTCAAGGGTTGGAAGTGTGAGTGTGAGCTTAGGCTTCAACTACTTCATGCTTCTTTGCTCTGATTCTCATTTACTGCCCATTTCCCTGGACTGTGGAGATCCTTTGGCAGTTCTTCACCATCTGCGTTCCTTCTTGCCACCCAAAATAATTTAGGATCATTAGTGAAGGTACACACCTCACCTTATTCCATAAATGGGAAATAATCTGTTTCTGAAAGAAAGCCCTGATCACGTCTCTATATTACGAGGGTTATCCGGAAAGTACAAGGTTCCTAGCTCTCACGGGGAATTTTCTGGGGGGAAGTTGGTATCACTGCCATGTAGCAGCAAGCCAACAGAAGTGAACGATCAATGCCAGTCATTGGTAGCTCATCGACTGGCGTTGTGGTATTTATTTATCGTGTCATCAGCAACCATACCATTATATTACAATTCTAACAGAGCAAAACAAACACACAGATTAAAAAGAAAACACAGATTTTGCAAATTTGGTAGTTGGTTAAATGTCCTTTGACCAGTATCTGGCCACTTGGAGTGCCTCTGGTGTTGCTGCAAGAAGGTCCTCCATTGTGCATGTGGCAGGGCTCAGGTTGCATTGCAGCAGGTGGTCAGTGGTTTGCTCTTCTCCGCACTCGCATGCCGAGGATTCCACTCTGTAGCCCCATTTCTTAAGATTGGCTCTGCATCTCGTGGTGCCAGAGCGCAGTCTGTTCAGCGCCTTCCAAGTCGCCCAGTCTTCTGTGTGCCCAGGGGGGAGTCTCTCATCTGGTATCACCCATGGATTGAGGTTCTGGGTTTGGGCCTGCCACTTTTGGACTCTCGCTTGCTGGGGTGTTCCAGCGAGTGTCTCTGTAGATCTAAGAAAACTATGTCTTGATTTAAGTCGTTGACGTGCTGGCTGATACCCAAACAGGGGATGAGCTGGAGATGTCTTTGCCTCTGCCTTGGGGGGACATGAGAGAAGCCTCCTCGCAGGATTGCAAGACATCCGGGCGTCCCCTGGGCAACGTCTTCGTAGACGGCCGATTCTCTCGATCCAGAAGCAACCAGAGGCGTTGTGGTAAAGGTTCGAGATAAGCGTCCTCATTCCATTTCCCTCCGAGTGTGAAGTTCCAGATAACCCTTGTAGAATTACCCATGAAAATGACACAAACTGGCTCATCGTTTCCACTACCTGTTTCCTATTTTTAAGGCCTCTTCTATCTCTAAAACGGAATTGAACTCATTCTTGCCTGATATTCTTAACCCCAATCAAGTTGGCATGACTTGTGGTGACCCAATGAATGAGAGAGCATCAAGTCACTCTCCTCTCAGGTCTTACAAACAGATCCAGGGCTCATTTAACTGAGTATTCTTGTTCATACTTACCTTTTGTTTGTCTTGCGTTTCTTCAAGTCATTTCTGACCCTAAGATAGAAGCATCATTGGGATTCTTGGCAAGATTCATTTGGAGGGAACTTACAGCTTTACAGCTTACAGCTTTTTTTATATTCCGCGCTTCTCACCCCGCAGGGGACTCAGGGCGGATTACAGTGTACACATATATGGCAAACATTCAATGCCAATTGTTGATATTCAGACATACACAGAGGCTATTTAACTTTTTCTGGCCACCAGGGGAGCTGTCGCTTTCATCATCCATCTGCGACGCTGATGAAGCACTTCCACATTCCCCGCATGCTTCCCCGCTGGAATGCTTTGCTGGAGTCTTCTTTATGGCCTCATAAATCAGTTAATTTAGCCTCCCCACACTTTAAGGTGGTACCTTATTTTCCTACTTGACAGATGCAACTGTCTTTCGGGTTGCAAAGGTCGGCAACAGGCTACACACAATCGGTTGGAAACCCACTCCAACCCGGGCTGGCTTCGAACTCATGACCTTTTTGGTCAGAGTGATCTTAATGCAGCTGACACTCAGCCAGCTGCGTCACAATCCCGTTTCTAATTGAAATGTTCTGCCTTTTCACAGATGTTATCGTGAATACGGAGACTTGACTCTGTGTGTGTGTTTACACCAGCGTTTCTCAATCTGTGCTGCTCCAGGTATTTTGTACTTTGACTTCCAGAAATCCCAGCCAGTTTACCAGAGGAATTGTGGGAGCTGAAGTCTAAAACACTTGGAGGAGCACAGGTTGAGAAACTCTGGTTTATATGCTTCAGTCCCAGCAGTTCAGGTGAGTCTGGTTCAAACTGAGGCCTTTGCAGATGACACCAAATTGGGAGGGATAGCCAATACTCCAGAGGACAGGAGCAGGATTCAAACGATCTTGACAGATTAGAGAGATGGGCCAAAACTAACAAAATGAAGTTCAACAGTGACAAATGCAAGATACTCCACTTTGGCAGGAAAAACGAAATGCAAAGATACAGAATGGGGGATGCCTGGCTCGAGAGCAGTACGTGTGAAAAAGATCTTGGAGTCCTCGTGGACAACAAGCTAAACATGAGCCAACAATGTGATGTGGCGGCAAAAAAAGCCAATGGGATTTTGGCCTGCATTAATAGGAGCATAGTGTCTAGATCTAGGGAAGTAATGCTACCCCTCTATTCCGCTTTGGTTAGACCACACCTGGAATATTGTGTCCAATTCTGGGCACCACAATTCAAGAGAGATATTGACAAGCTGGAATGTGTCCAGAGGGCGACTAAAATGATCCAGGGTCTGGAGAACAAGCCCTATGAGGAGAGGCTTAAGGAGCTGGGCATGTTTAGCCTGAAGAAAAAGGCTGAGAGGGGATATGATAGCCATGTATAAATATGTGAGAGGAAGCCACAGGGAGGAGGGAGCAAGCTTGTTTTCTGCTTCCCTGGAGACTAGGACGTGGAACAATGGCTTCAAACTACAAGAGAGGAGATTCCATATGAACATGAGGAAGAACTTCCTGACTGTGAGAGCCGTTCAGCAGTGGAACTCTCTGCCCCGGAGTGTGGTGGAGGCTCCTTCTTTGGAAGCTTTAAACAGAGGCTGGATGGCCATCTGTCAGGGGTGATTTGAATGCAATATTCCTGCTTCTTGGCAGAATGGTGTTGGACTGGATGGCCCATGAGGTCTCTTCCAACTCTTTGATTCTATGATTCTATCTTTGTTGACTGAGCAGGTATACTGTTATTTCTTACTGAGCCTGGGAATGAGGAGATGTGGAGAGAGCCCTATTATTGTCAAGAGTTGTTTTCACCTTCCTCTCTCTTTCCCTCTCTCTTCCTTCATAGCCAGTGCTGATATCTCAGTGGTGATCCCAGAACGGGTGCCGCAGGAGCAGATCCATCTCCTGCAAGCCAAAGGGAACCAGGTGCGGAGAGACCGGAGCCGGCGTTCTGCATCACTCGACCCCGAAGAGGAAGGAGATGAGGAAGTGGCACCGCTCTTGATCCGCCTTCCTACAGGAAGTGGCCTTCACCTGGGCTCTGACCTCTACCTGAGCCTCCGTCCGAATGCACAGTTCTTGGCACCTGGGTTTTCGGTGCAGGAAATCCCTGAGGATCCAAGTGTCAATCGTAACGCCGGTGTGGATCGGAGTTGCTTTTACACAGGCCATGTGCTCAATCGCAGCGTCGACTCCTTTGCTTCGCTCAGCACCTGCAATGGGCTGGTACTTGTCCTTATATCTTTGGCCTCATTTCATACAGTGGGTGGGTGAGTGAGTGGGGTGGATAGGAACAAAATATTTATTAGGGAGACATAGTTCAGAAAGATACTTGCTGGGAAGTGGAGGGTGCTCAGAAGTGGAAGTGGAGGGTGCTGATTAGGCAGGCTAGAAAGAAGAGGTATCTCTCCTCTGGTGTCATTTTCAGTATTAGTGCATGGGGAATTGTATTAGACATTGCCAGGGGCGGCTCAACCCATTACGCAAAGTAAGCATTTGCAGTATAGTTGATTTTGCCCAGGGGCGCTCTTGAGGCGCTCTTGGGGGAAAATAGACCTTGACATATTCAAGTTGTAGTTACTGGGATGTATAGTTCACCTACAAGCAAAGAGCATTCTGAACTCCACCAATGATGGAATTGAACCAAATATGGCACACACAACTCCCGTGATGAACAGAAAATATATATCAGTGATTGGTTGGGGGGGGGGGGCAAAATACTGTTTGCTTACCATTGAAAATTACCACCTCTGGACATTGCAGGATGGGGTGCTTAAGGTTTAGGAACCTGGCTATCCATCAATCATGTCCTTTTCCACAATTCACAATTCCATCTCGCCCTATCCCATAATTGGCCTATTATTGCACTTCTTCTAAAATGGTTTTTGTTCCTGGATCATAAATGTCATTTCCTAATTGGTTCTATCATAAAAACATGGGAAAGGTTTAGCAAACTGCAAAAACTGTTATAGCACATTTGGATCTAGCTTTTCAATGAATATCTCCTCGAGTCTCAACTATTTATTTGTCGTGTCAGGGCAACCAGTCAATTGTATTACATTTCTAACAGAACAAAACAAACAAACAAACAGACAAAATACAAAATTTGTGAGTTTGGTAGTTGATTAAATGTCCTTTGACCAGTATCTGGTCACTTGGAGTGCCTCTGGTGTTGCCGTAAGAAGGTCCTCCATTGTGCATGTGGCAGGGCTCAGGGTGCATTGCAGCAGGTGGTCAGTGGCTTGCTCTTCTCCACACTCGCCTGTCGTAGATTCCACTTTGTGGCCCCATTTCTTGAGGTTGGCTCTGCATCTCGCAGTCTGTTCAGCGCCTTCCAAGTCACCCAGTCTTCTGTGTGCCCAGGGGGTAGTCTCTCATTTGGTATCAGCCATTGATTGAGGTTCTGGGTTTGAGCCTGCCACTTTTGGACTCTCGCTTGCTGAGGTGTTCCAGTGAGTGTCTCTGTAGATCTTAGAAAACTATTTCTTGATTTAAGTCGTTGATGTGCTGGCGGATATCCAAACAAGGGATGAGCTCGAGATGTCACTGCCTTGGTCCTTTCACTATTGGCTGCTACTTCCCGGCGGATGTCAGGTGGTGCAATACCGGCTAAACGGTGTAATTTCTCCAGTGGTGTAGGGTGCAGACACCCCGTGATAATACGGCATGTCTCATTAAGAACCACATCCACTGTTGGACTCTCGCTTGCTGAGGTGTTTCAGCGAGTATCTCTGTAGATCTTAGAAAACTATTTCTAGATTTAAGTTGTTGACGTGCTGGCTGATACCCAAACAAGGGATGAGCTGGAGATGTCTCTGCCTGGCGAGTCTCAACTAATTTCACATAGTTTGTGCCACAAAAACGATGTTTCTGGAGTAGGACGATGATGTTTAAAGTCAGGACCGCACAATTAAGCAGGAAATAACACTTTCAAACCAGAAACAAAACTTTTTTCAAATTTGGTTACATAGTGAGAGAATCGTAGAGCTAGAAGATACCCCAAGGACTGTCCAGTCCATCCCCCTTCTGTGCAGGAGGACATAATCCAAGCACCCCCAAAAGATGGCTGTCCAGTCTCTCCTTAAAAGGAAGGAGACTCCACCAGACTCTAGGGCAGCATACTCTACCGTTAGACCGTCAGGAAGTTCTTCCTGATGTTTAGGTGGAATCTCGTTTCCTGCAGTTTGAATCCGTGGATCCTTCCATGGAATCTCATGGTTATTTATTTATTATTTATTTACAGCATTTATTTTCCGCCCTTCTCACCCCGCAGGGGACTCATGGCGGATTACAGTGTACACACATATGGCAAACATTCAATACCAATTTTGACTTACAACATATACAGACATACACAGAAGCTATTTAACTTTTTCTGGCCGCCAGGGGAGCTGTCGCTTTCATCGTTCATCTGCGACACTGATGAAGTACTTCCGCATTCCCCGCATGCTTCTCCGCTGGAATGCTTTGCTGGAGTCTTTTTTATGGCCTAATAAATTAGTTAATTTTGCCTCCCCACACTTTAAGGTGGTACCTAATTTTCCTACTTGACAGATGCAACTGTATTTCGGGTTGCAAAGGTCGGCAACAGGCTACACAATTGATTGGAAACCCACTCCAACCCGGGCTGGCTTCGAACTTATGACCTTTTGGTCAGAGTGATCCTAATGCAGCTGACATTCACAGTTACGCCACAATCCTGGTGCACAATCCCAATCCTGGTTCCATTCTTCCCGCCTCCTGCATATCCACACACACAATGCAGGACTCTTATTGTTGTGTAGGGATAGCTCAGGAAACACACCTTGGAAGCTTCTGCAGAAGGAGGCAGCAGACAAACCAGTAGAATCATAGAATGATAGAATAACAGAGTTGGAAGAGACACTATGGGCCATCTAGTCCAACCCCCTACTATGCAGGAAAAGCACCCCTGACAGATGGCCTCTGTTTAAAAGCCTCTAGAGAAGGAGTCTTCACTGGACTCGGGGCAGAGAGAGAGTTCCACTGCTGAACTTATGGTCAGGAAGTTCTTCCTCATGGGTTGTTGTAGTTTTTTTTTGGACTGTATGGCCATGGTCTAGAGGCATTCTCTCCTGACGTTTCGCCTGCATCTAAGGCAAGCATCCTCAGAGGTAGTGAGGTCTGTTGGAAGTAGGAAAAAGGGTTTATATATCTGTGGAATGACCAGGGTGGACAAAGGACTCTTGTCTGCTGGAGCTAGGTGTGAATGTTTCAACTGACCACCTTGATTAGCATAATCTCATTTTACTCCATAATCTCATTTTACTCCATTCTTTACCAGAGCTTGTTTCCTCTCTGTTTTGCTGTTCTAATTTTATAGTTTTTTAATACTGGTAGCCAGATTTTTCATTTTCATGGTTTCCTCCTTTCTGTTGAAATTGTCCACATGCTTGTGTATTTCAGTGGCTTCTCTGTGTAGTCTGACATGGTGGTTGTGAGAGTGGTCCAGCATTTCTGTGTTCTCAAATAATATGCTGTGTCCAGGTTGGTTCATCAGGTGCTCTGCTATGGCTGACTTCTCTGGTTGAAGTAGTCTGCAGTGCCTTTCATGTTCCTTGATTCGTGTTTGGGCAATGCTGCCTTTGGTGGTCCCTCTGTAGACTTGTCCACAGCTGCATGGTATCCGGTAGACTCCTGCAGAAGCGAGAGGATCTCTCTTGTCCTTTGCTGAATGTAGCATTTGTTGGATTTTCTTGGTGGGTCTGTAGATAGTTTGTATGTTGTGTTTCCTCATCAGCTTCCCTATGCGGTCTTCCTCATGTTCAGATGGAATCTCCTTCCCTGTCACTTGAACCCAGTCATTGAGTCCTAGTCTCTGGGGCAGCAGAAACGCTTCCTTATGACATCCTTTCACATATTTATACATGTCTCCTCTCATGTTTCCTCTCAGCCTTCTCTTCTGAGGCTAAACAGATCCAGTTCTTTAAGAAATGGCACATAGTTATTATTTATTATCTCCAAATCTTTGATTTTTTCAGTCTCCCTCCCCCTCTGGACACCTTCAAACTTAAAGTCAACATCTTTCTTCAATTGTGGGGCCCAGAACTGGTCACAGTGTGATTCCAGGTGAAGCGGTCTAACTAATGCACCATGACTTCCTTCGATCTAGTGTTGTTTCTTGTTTAATTGTGTGATCCCTTGTAAGTTGACTTTCAGATCTCCGTTGGAGATGTGCCATGGGCACCTTTGCCCCTTGTCTCCCTTTTAATCCACATTGAGGCACCAGGCTGTGCTTTGTATCACTTCTTTCAATTGCAGGAGCCATCTCTTAACTCACTACCTCTGAGGATGCTTGCCATAGATGCAGGTGAAACGTCAAGAGAAAATGCCTCTAGAACATGGCCATATAGCCCGGAAAACCTACAACAACCCATCTCTTAACTGTTTGCTGGGTTGTGGCTGGATCTCCGACTTCCAGCTTCTCTGGCCACAACTTGGTATTCCCTCTCCATCTGCTTTGGATTCCTTCCTCTTCCTTCAGAATAGGAACGGGCGGGAGCTGCATTTGGCAAACGGAGGTGCAGATAGTTTGAGTCAATAAAGCCAGGTAGAATTGGAGACGACATGGCCTTCTTGAGGAAGGTTAGGAAGTAGGTCCACCGGTTTGACTTAAGATTTAATAACCAAACGGCTTTGGGTGGGATGAAGACCAAAAAAGCAACTGTGGGTAACTCTTCGTCTATCCTGCTTAGAGGATCTGACGTCAGCATTGCTCGCTCCCACGTGCAAATTCTCTCTCTCTATACACACACACACACACACACATTCGCTCTCACACTGCAAAATGTGTGAAGCTGCTTAGCATAAATAAGATCATGACCGTACAGGAATATAGCTGGAATACCTAAGGTGTTCTATCTGCAAGAAGTAATCATGAATGCAGCAAAAAGCAAAGTGTCATTAACGGGGTTTTTAATGCCTTTAACATGAAGTTCGTGGCCCTGAGTGGCTTGTTCAGGGTGGATTGAATCTTCTGGATTACTTTTTGGGAGTCTGTTATTCTAGGCAAAGGAGATTTGCCATTGAAAGCTGAGGTGTGTGTGGCCAAGATGAGCAAAACAATGCACCCAACAATTGGAATGAACAGGCCTTGATCTCAGCCGTGATGCAAAATCTTGTTGCATCCTATGGTTTGACTCTGAAATATCTTCACTGCGGTGAACTGCTTCCTTGGTAACTTTCTATCTCCTTCTAATTTGATGTCA